CATTATCATGACATTCTCTTCTTGTTCTACGGGATGTTTATAAATGAATGGTGCGGATTTCAAAATTAATAATAGATCGATGTATTATCTTATTCATGTCAAAACTACACCGTAAGCATTGGCAGCTGTCCAAGTTTCTCATGTGCTACTTGCTGTTTGCTTGCCATGCTTACTGCGCAGGTACAGCGTTAGTTTCCAAGATGGCGCCGCAACAGGAACAGGCTTTTTTGTTCTCGGTTTTGAGGCGTCCAGATCTTTGGCTTGAGTTTACCAGGAGTTTCGTGCTCGTTTTCTGTACGGTGTCTCGCGAGAAAGTGAACGGCCTATTTTCTTTGAACAAGAAACTGTGATTGGTGACTCATTTCTAGACATGTAGGAAACCTGATTGTTACCCCATTTGAATCCAATTATGATGATTACATTTTGCAACTGGACGGTGCTCCGCCCCATTTTCACAAGAATTTATGAGAGTTTCTTAATCGTGTTTTTCATCGTGACTTTCCCAGCAACTGCCACAATCCCTACAACAAGAGGAAGTAATCAATGCAAGTGAGGCCTGGCGATCTTGCTGGCTAGTGCACCGGATCACCCCTGCAGATCCCAGTTTGAGGATGTGTTTCGAACGTAATTTCGACACCTTTGATGTCGATCGTCTGTTTTTGTTCTTATTTCTTGGTTTCCGCCGCACTAAGCATAATAAACATGTATTCTCACCCTGTTCATATCCTTTCTTTCTTGTGTTTTGTATCGTCACTATCGCGCCAGGAAAGCGTTTCTGACGTGCACTACTATGTATTTTTCCATCGTCTACGTGTATTCGATCTCTTCTGAAAATTTGTAACTGATTTGCTGAAACATCCTGTACACACCGCATTTGCCGGAGTATAAGACGCACCGGCCTATAAGATGCACTCCCGTTTTATACACGTTTTTGAAGGATAAAACTTTATTACTGATCATTATAATGAATTTACAGTATTTTAAGTATAAAGTAATATAAAGTCATACTTGCTGAAAATACCCAATCTACCTGGGAAAGAACACATTTTAATCTCCTTCTTCAAAACCCAGACACTCAACTTCAGAATTAAATGAAGAGTCACTTGAAACCTTTTCTAAATCAGCATCTGAGTCCTAATACAACAAATTGTTCTCTGTACTATCCACTACATTACTAATGCCACACTTCTTATATGCTTTAACCACTGTGTCTGTTTTCACAGCATCTCATGAAACTTTGACCCATTCTCAAACGACCTATCGACGTATAAGACAAGTATCTGTGTATAAGACGCAACCTGTTTTTCAGACCTATTTTCACAGAAAAAACGTACGCCTTATAAGCCGGCAAATACGGTATATATTTCCTTTGGAATTTATTTTTCCTACGAGTGAATTCAAAAATTCTTTAACATCAAACATATCCGAAATTCACAGTGACAGAAACGTTTGTTTCTAATTACAATAAACTGTAACCCCTTCCTCCACCGAGAACTTGAATGGATGATACCAAACCCACAATGACATCAAGAATTTTCTTTTTTCAAAAGCGATAATATAGGTTTCACTTCCAGTTAAATATCTCCCTTTGAAGAATACATTGAAAATCATTTTCTATCTGCTTGATGGCCTTGATTACCATCAATTTGCAATCCTTCATTACCGTTAGATGAATTTGTAACTGCAGTGAACTGCGAAACTAGTAACTGAGTAATCAAGATTATTTTTACGCAGTAAGTATTTGAAACATTTTAGGATAGGAAATATTTACTGGTAAATAAATAAGTTAATGCTTTTAATTATTATTTCCAGAAGAGCCTACGTAAAAAGTATAAAAGCTTCTTTCTACTAAAGACATTTCTATGGAAAGCATTTATTGGTCTGGAAACCTTTTCGATTGAAGAGAATTATAATATCAGTTATTTCCTTCCTATTCATTCTATTTATTCATTCTTTTTCTTGTTATACATATATTTTCTCCCTTAAAGAGTCGGCAATTTCTCGCCGAAGTAAAAAGCATTTTCGCCAAACATAATTAGATTATTTGCAATTACAACAAATAAAAACAGTGCTGAGTAGCATTAAAAATAAGTATTTCATTACGTAACTCACAAAATATTTAAACAACTGCTAGATAGAAAAAAAACAATTTGCCACTAAGCTAAACTTGAGTTAAAATAAATATTTAATTTTAATGTTAAGGAAGACTTGCCGGGTTGCACCCAATAAATATTCGAGTCAAGTTGCATAATAATGCGGATAGGGAATACGAATGGTGTTTTTAAAAATATTAGAGTCGACGCATATTCTGCATCATCGCTTTTAACAGCTTTAAATAATATTTTTTTTATTTCTATTCTGTTTCTGAAACTTTCTCCTGTACTAATTTTCAGGCAAGTAATTACCGTTCCTTTTATGCATTTGATCAAAATAATTCATCCGCATTTAAAACGAAGTGATTTAGTATTGAGAAACAATACTTTATTAGATCAATATGTTCTTACATGCTCAATATATATCTTTATTATACATCAATATATATTTATATAGATATACCTATATATCATTTTATTTTATATATATATATATATATATATATATATATATATCAATCGAAACAGAAATTGAAAAACTAACAAGTAATGAGACGTAAGACCTATATGGTCTTAAAAGTTTTTGCGCAAAATGCTGCAGAAATATGAAATAACAGGTAGAAATATTACAGCGAGCTTGCTAAAAAGTTACCAGGAGCTGTAGCTCCACAAAATAGTTCAACGCAGTATTACTAAAATATTAACATAGAAGAAATTTAAAAAAAATATTAACATGTAAAAAAGAAAAAAACTGCTTACACGCGAAATAAAACTGTTTAAAATCAATGTTGGAAAATATGTGAATGCACGAAAAAACTAATCTAACCGTTGTGATATGTGAAAAGTTAATACATATAAAAATAAATCGACTGAACAAGTTAAAAGAAAATAAAATTAAAAAATAATTAAAACATAAATTGCAAAAATTATAATGAAAACATAATTTGCAAAATTACAAAAATTACAATAATTACAAAGCGGAAAATGGTAAATTAACCCAATCGGACCCTCAACCAAGCTTTTCAAGGGAAAAATGGTTGAATGTCGAACTAGGCCAAATACCATTACGCGTTTCGCCGAAACAGACCATTGAAGCTCTTGTTTGATGAAAAAAAATTTTTAAATATATATGAATGGTCCCGAAAAAATCTTTTTGGAGCTTCAATTCTCTGTTCCTTTTCCCCGACGCGTCCGCAGAAAAACACATTAACGTGTAAAAAAGGGTAAAAGCAACTCCGAGCAGTACAAAATTAAAATCAAAATAAAATAAATAGCGGTCTGCTATTAGTCAAAATTACAATAACGTACGGGCTGGTCCTGCTAGCTTAAAGAAGAAAACATTTTATAAAGATTATGGTACTGATATCAAATTAATATTCAATTAAACATGCATGAAAACAAACGCCGTTGGGTCTTACTGGGATCAAAAATTTTAAGAAACACACAAAACAAAAGAAACAAAAAAACAGACCTGGATTGTGCCGACCTCTGAATCGCGTAACTGATTTGAAAAAGGTGAAAAACCCCTCCGTGTCCTACCAACCATCCCTCTCGTCGTGTGACGTAAGTGGGTGAAACAATGCTATTCCGTATAGGCCAATGCGCTGAGATTGTAATTTGGGGGGAAGTCTTATCCCCCCTTTGCTAAAGAGGGTTTTGAGAGACGCGAAAAGACATGAAAAGAATTCAAAGTGGCGTCAGTCAAGTTGTTAGAACAAAATTGCTTCAAATAAGTGAAAATGCCTAATTCAGCTAAGATTACTTATTTTGGCCACAAAAGAAAGCGTAAAATGGAAAAAAGTCATTTGTTAATAAAAGTCGTCAATATACAGTGGTGCCTCACACAACGAACTTAATTCGTTCCAGGAGCAAGTTTGTTATGCGAAAAGTTCGTTATGTGAAACGCGTTCAATACATGTTAAAAAAAATAATTCCTTCTGTAGCATAAAATATGCTAAGATGACATAAAAAAAGATAATTTTTTTGTTATTATTTTTATTTAGATACATCTAAAAACATAATTTTTTAAAAAAAAAACACACATTTTTTTAATTTTAAGACAGACTAAGTAGAGTCTAGCGAATCGTGCACATCTTCATCCATTTCCTGCTTTTTGGCCGATGGTTTCATGAAAAACCTGTCCAAAGTCGTTTGTTTTTCTCTTTTCTCCAACATCTGCCGGAAATAACCGACAAGAGTATCGGAGTAAAGATCGTTTATCCTGTTTGCTTCAGTTGAATCCGGATAGTGGGCATTGGTAAACTCCTGAACTGCTTTCCATTTGACCAGGATGTTCTTGATGTCAGCAGTTGGGATTGGTTGATTGTTTGATTGTTGCTCCTCGTTATCAGATGACGCTTCCCTTTGAGCATTGTCCTGTTGCTGGACCGTCAGTTGTCAGCTCTTCTTCGTGTTCCTCAATAAGCTCCTCTACATCCTCTTCCTCTACCTCTAATTCCAACCTTTGGGCCACTATGATGATGTCCTTCACTACTTCTGTGTCATCAACTACTGCTTCTTCCTGGGTCCACCAAGGCACAAGCATCTTCCAAGCAGAAATCAGGGTCCTTTGTGACACTTCTTCCCAGGCCTTCTTTATAAGTCGTATTGCCATAAGGACATCAAATTTCTCCTTCCAAAACTTTCGGACAGTCATATTGTCTCCACCAAACTCGCATTCTTCAAACACCTTATTAAAGAGGGATCTAGTGTAGAGTTTTTTAAAGTTCGCAATAACTTGCTGATCCATTGGCTGAAGAATGGATGTGGTGTTTGGTGGCAAATACTGCACCTTGATAAAAGGATAATTTTCCTGCAATATTTTCTCTAGGTCTTTTGAGTGAGAAGGGGCATTGTCAAGTATCAGAAGGGCTTTGAGCGGCAGTCCTTTTTCCAGCAAGAATTTCCTCACGGCAGGAGCAAAGGTTTCCAGAATCCGTTGAAGATAACTTGGGTCACCAAGGCTTTTTGATTGGACTTCCAATGGACGGGCAGTTTGGACTTAATAACGTTATTTTTCTTGAAAATTCTTGGATTTTCAGAGTGATAAACCAATAGAGGTTTGATCTTGAGGTCTCCGCTGGCATTAGACGAAAACATAAGGGTAAGTCTGTACTTCATGGCTTTGTGTCCTGGCAATTTCTTCTCCTCTTTTGTAATGAAGGTTCTGCTCGGCATTCTTTTCCAGAAAAGACCCGTTTCATCGGCATTGAACACTTGTTGTGGGCAGTATCCTTCATCCTTAATACATTTTTGAAAGTTAATAGAGAACTTTTCTGCTTCTTTCTTGTCAGCACTGCCAGCCTCACCATGCATAGTAACGCTGTGGATTCCACACCTTTTCTTAAATCTAAAAAACCACCCCCTGCTGTCTTTGAATTCTTCTTCATTATCTTGATTGCTGCTACTTCCAGGGACGTTTTTCTTTAGATCGTCATAAATTCTCTTGGCTTTGTGACAGATAATATCTTGGGTTGTTACGTCACCTTTCACCTGCCTGTCCTTAATCCAAATCGCTAATAGCCTCTCCATTTCCTCGTGGATTGAAGACCTATGTTTTTCATGAAATAGATTTGATACTCCTTTGGCTACTTTGGCTGATTTGATTGCATCCTTATTTGTCAAAATGGTGAAAATGGTGGTCTTGCTGAGGCCAAACTCTTTAACGAGGTCACACTGTTTTACCCCACATTCACTCCTTCTAATTATTTCCTGTTTCATTTCAACAGAAATCACCTTCCTGCTTTTTTTAGAAGCCATGATATAGAAACAATATTGATTTTAACTTAAAAGGACAATATTGAGTTTAACTTAAAAGGAGGTATTGCCGCGATACTTGCTTAAGTTAAGCGCAGTGACTAACGACTGCCTGCAGTGCCTGCGCGGAAGGATGCAATACATCGGCAGCGATCGTGGAAGCTCGGGCGAATCAGTCGTGGAAACTCGGATGAAGCAGTCGTGGAAACTCGGGCGAAGCAGTCGTGGAAGCTCGGGCAAAGCGGTCGTGGAAGCTCGGGCGACTTCATTGTGTGAAACGAAGTTCATTGTATGAATCATGAAATGAAGTTCGTTATGTGCAGCGTTCACTGTGCGAGACGTTCTTTATGGGAAGCACTACTGTATATCAATATATAGCTTTATTAGATCAATATCAATATGTTCTGAGTTTACTGTTTAATTCAATTATCTCGTACACCTTCCTTAAATCTTGAAAATAACCCAGTAACTACATGCAAAGGAAAGTGTCTTGTATATTTTTAATTTATATATGTTCATTTCACGCATAAAATTTTGGGTTAGACGTAGCCCTTTTAAGCCCAGAATCTCGTTCTTTCGGACAAATTAACTTAAACAGTCCTGTGACAGGATGTTTCTTAGCGTGATTTCATTTAAATTGATTGATTTGATAAGATAATCATAATAGTTCATCCTTCTGTTTGGGAGGGGGCGTATCTCTAAGCGTGGGTGGAGTTCCTAAATCCAGAGTTAGTCTAACATGAGAGTAGAGCCAATCCGCAACTTAAGAACGAGTTACGTTTCCGAGGGAATGTTTGTATTATGAATTTTTAATAAAATGTTATTAGTTTCACTATACATATCTGCTAACGACTTTCGTGTTATGAGAATCAAGAATACTAGTAAAAAATAATTAAAAATTGTAAAAAACAAACGCATAATATATTTTAAATTTTAAATACAGTATATCTGTAGTTCCCAAACTTTCTGGATCGCGAAAACATTGTAGATACTTCGGCGATATTGCGACACCTAAATTTTCAGAAATATGTATTTTATAATATGTCTGTATACCTCTTATACAGATTTTCAGCAACATTACGATCCCCAAACAACTTTTGGTGACCTCTAGTTTGAAAATCACTGCAGTACACTAATTAAATAAAGAATTACTATACAGTACGTATCTTGAACTACTCCTTTGAGTCTTGTGTGTTTGAAATGAGGAGATAAGGATAATAAAACTTTACATAAGGCAAGGAGTGAGCCAACGTCTGACTCGCTCTTTGTAGATACATGCACATTCTTTAGTTTTGATTTTACCATATGTTGAGCAAATTCGAAAATAAAAAAATCTGATCGGGACACCATGACTTCTTTGGGCGGCCCATTAAATAATCATTTAAAAACAACGGTAAACTGATATTAAATACTGTTAGATATTTACAACAATAAACTGATAACAAATATTGTTAGATATTTATCGTTTGAATAACTGCATATACTAATTATTATTATATATGTAGCTGGATATCGTTATTGGGAAAAATGAATTTTTTTTTTTAATTTAACATAGCCAAATCATGAATGTTTTCGTCATTTAAAGCACTTTTGCAATTGGAAGTATATGACTACGATTACAGCCTAGTAAAACGTACATGTTTTCAGCAATTTTGTTAAGGAATATTTTGCAAAAAGAAGGCAAAACTAATAAAAAAGACATTCAGCAGAAACAGAAATAACAGGAAAATTCTGTGAAAATAAAACCAGAAACATTTTTGTTTGCAGTTATGATTATTTCCTAAGCTCATGTAAATAGTTTTCGCTCGTATATAAAGCTGGATGAGAATATTAGCAGATATCTTTGACACTCTATGATGCAATATTACCATCCCATAAAAAACTGTTTTATATACCTGGCTCACCATTAAGAGCATATTTCTCTAAATCTAGATAATGTAAAGTCCCTCTGTTCCAGACTCGTCTAATGATAATAAGCATTTGGTAACTTAAAACGTAAGGCATTTTTAAGACCTCAGGATTGTTTTTATTAATATTATAACTTAAATTGGCTAAGAAGAAATAAATAATTAAAGAAGGATTACAAGTAATAACAAGCTGTTTAACAAAACGATTGGAAAAGCAACAATTTTTAGATAAGGCCTTTTAAACATTTTGGGAAGAGATGGAAATATATTTAAACAGTTAACTGGAATTTTAGATTTTCATGAAGGTGGAAAATTTCAAGAAGATTTAATTACAAACTGAAACTCTTATCCCTTTTTTCCCTTTGGATAATGTCTGGAGTAACTACTATTTTTTCTACTTTAACAAGTTTTCGTCATTAATCTTGATTGCCCAAATCCATAAGATTTATTTTATTAAAATTAAACTTACTAACTTTAATTTAAAAGCTTAATAAATTTAAATTATGCAAAAACCAATTTCTGCGATCCAATTAATTACAACATTTAATTGCTTTCAAAGTTTACAACATTGATATAGCGAGAAATATTTAACTTGAATAATCTGAGATATTTAACCACGGATTTCCGTAAATTAAGAAACGTGTATAAAAATTAGGATTAAACGAAAAAAAATCTATGTAAAGATTCTCATTTAATTTCGAGAAATTAGCAATATTTTAGCTTTGAATATGATTTAAATATTTTACAGGAGAAATAGCTTTCCTTTAGATGAAACAGGAAGTTACTGCAAAAGGAATTGCGACAGCGCAATAGGCAATCCTACGAAATGAGGTCATTTTATAAAAGCACATTTCGTAGGGTTTTTTAAAGTAATCGTTTATAGGTATGCTGGATCAGTACCTAAGTAACGATTATTATTTCTTTAAAAAACTGATGTGTATACTGCATGACTTCCTTGTACGGGATATTAAATTATACGCATTTTCTCCTATATTTGATTTAACTTATTTCCTCGAATTTCGTTAAAGATATACTATATTTCTCATTCAATTAATTCAGTTTTCACTTCGCAGCAAGGCAAAACTACATAAAAACTCGAAATATTTTCTTTAAAAATTGAAAGATATATCAAAGCATGAAACATCAAATACAGTTAAAACAATTTTTACAATTAAATTTACAGTTTCTACTCAAAAAACAAACAATTCGGCCAGTTGGCAAAAAAGCAGATTTTTCCGTGCACAAACCTAAAAGTTTCCTTTTAGTTCTATTCGGCAAAAAGACACTGAAGGTGCAAAAATATTGAATTCGCAATTGTGCTGAGTTTGAAATATAAACAAATATGGTTGCTATGGTAAAGAAGCTAAGTGCTTAGCCGCACTTAAACAACTTCGTAAATAAACAATTAGCTATAGAATTATCAACAATTTACTATAATCCTACAACTATTGCATGCAGATTAACTGAAGTCATGAACACCTTGACCAGAAAAACATAATCAATCATTTTTAAGCAAAAAATACACAATTTATCAACATATAAGAATAAAAAAAACTAAGCTCACTAAAACGAGTAACAAAGTGGGTATATAAATATAAATATATATATATATATATATGTGTGTGTGTTGTGTAAGATATAACTGCAGACTGATTCCTCTTCTGTGCCTAAAAAATATTATATATATATGTCATAATTTGGTAGTCGGGACTTTTGCAGAATCACAAAAATCACATGATAATCCAGATATATCTTTATTGCTTGTTGCACATCACAATGGGGGCCAATCTGCACCCCACAATTTTGATGATGGTGCATTACATTTTTAACAAAAGCAGCCAAGCAAGAGACGTCCTTCAGCCAACAAGCATAGGCAGAGAAAGAGGAGGTAGTAGGATTGCGATAATATAGTAAAATATTTCGTTAATCTGATTGGCTAAAACTTATAGGCAACTTATATTATCTATATACTTATATTGTCTGTAAACTTATATACTTATTAAATATATATACAGACTTAACGTCTGTAAACTTATATTATATAGACGTCTGTAAACGTCTGTAAACTTAATAACTTATATTATTACAGAAGAAGGGTTCTTTACACCCTTCTTCTGACTTTTCGTCGTACGTAATACTTAAGGATAATTCCTCACACAATCTTCTAGGTCTCATTAGCTTATGCTACCTAAAAATATGAGACTCTATAGTATTACGAGAGGGAATAGTATTTGACTTCCTAAAGACATTCTGATCTGTTTTTAATTAGCACATACACCTTTTTTTTTTTTTTTTTTTTTTGTTGAGCCTGAACTCTTGGTCTTACTTAGTAGTTTGTTAAGCTCCGTTAATAGTCTGTTGCATCAGAATCGCTTACATGCATCTGAATAACTTAGTCGAACCAGTTATAACATAGCATAGCAGTTTGTTGAGTGATTAATGTAAAAAGGTTTTTCTTTCAATACTTATAAATTTACTTTTGCTTAGCACGTAAACGACTTATGATGACGTATTTATGATACTGTTTCATTATAAGTATCAATGCAACTCAGATTAATTTATGCATGATATATCATTGAGAATCTTTACTGACTGGCTGATTAATTTGGAGTAATTCGCATCATTATCAGTAAGTTATCTCAAACTTGCTCTCTGTTTCCTAATGAATAGAAACAAACATAAAGAAAATTATAAATTAATAATGGTAAAGAACACTTTAAATTGTTATTTATAAACAATCTAGCTATATAAGCATAAATTACACTGTTTAAAATATTTCAATGAACATATGCTTCAATGCACAACTTTTATTTCTGACAAATGTTTCGTTTTGCTTATTTCCAGAGTAGATGACAGGTAAGACGAGAAGGAATATAGTAGATGCCGCTTAAGTAGGTTTAAATGCCTAAAACCTCTGTATTAAATTTCTTAATAATATCTAAGTTATGGAAACCTCTACAGTTAATCTATTTTTTGTTTGCTTTTCATTTTGTTTGAATTATACCATTTTTCCTTCTTTTCACAGCGCATTTTTTAATAGGAATTCAATAAAGATTGTATGTTATTGTAATATTTTGATGAATTCAATTGCTAAAA